TTTTTTTTTTTTTTTTTTAATAGAGACAAGGTTTCATCATGTTGGTCAGGCTGGTCTTGAACTCCTGACTTCAGGTGATCCGCCCACCTCGGCCTCCCAAGGTGCTGGGATTACAGGCGTGAGGCACCACGCCCGGCCCTGGCTATAGTTTTAAAACTATTTTAGAAAAAGAAAATAAGCATGTTTTCACAAATATAAGCATATATTGAAAACTAAATATATTCAGCTTTTACACAATTCACTTCAATATGTTTTTTAAAAAATACTAAAATTATGCAAACTATGAATTTGGGACATCGAAAACACCTACCAGAAACAATTCCATGGGAAACTCGATGGGATACTGATTGAAAGAAATTCTGATACATTTGTTGATTCGCAGAGCAACAACAACGGTTAGGAACAGTAGAATGCTGGTGGAATTAGCTTTTGGGAGAGCTATACAGTAATTAATTATGTTCTGAAAGACAATAAAATTACAGAGGCTTAGAAAGGGGTATAATAATTGGCTAAGTTTAGAAATTGGCACTGTAGATTAACTCAGAAAGAAATTCCTAAGCAGAGTTTCTGGGCATGAAGGTCTTGATGGATATTACTAGAACAGTGAGGGCAAGCACGATGGGGTGGGCATTTTTGTTAAAAACAACATTAATGTTTAATAAGTATAAGGAGAGAATACACTGTATGTTTTAGTATAATGGACAGGACCTAGACATTCCATTTATAAGCCAATAGTTATTTGTTTTCTCAAATAATATACTGTAGCTTAGCTCCTATCCTATTCTTACATTGAGAAGCTACTTAGTATTGTATATACTTTAGATGTTTTAGGATACATATTTGTTATAAGGTAGGTAATGAGAAGAATTGTAATAGATACAATATCTTAAAGGCCAAATTGTAATGTATATAATGATAGTTTAAAAGGCTGGAATGGCCAGGCACAGTGGCTCACACCTATAATCTCAACACTTTGGGAGGCCGAGGTGGGTGGATCACCTTAGGTCGGGAGTTTGAGACCAGCCTGACAAACATGGAGAAATCCCATCTCTCCTAAAAATACAAAATTAGCCAGGTGTGGTGGCACATCCCTGTAATCCCAGCTACTCAGGAGGCTGAGGCAGGAGAATCGCTTGAACCTGGGAGGCAGAGGTTGTGGTGACCCGAGATCGTGCACTCCAGCCTGGGCAACAAGAGCAAAACTCCATCTCAAAAACAAAATAAAATAAAACAAAAAAGGCTGGAATGGTTTGTCAGCTGAAAGCATGGTCTAACTGGCATCTGCAATTAATCAAGACCCTAATATTCCAATGAAGGAAAATATTTCTAGTATCCTCTTGACTGAGCTGCCTATTGGCTGTGTCTCCTTTTGGAATGGGCAGGAGTCTCTCTACTGAGGTCCACCTCTCTTTGGAGGTGAGAGTGGCATTTGTAACTCTGGGTAAGAGTTGAAATTACTCACATAGAAGAAGGAGATGGGACCGGCATGGAAAGTAATCATAATCCCGAAGATGCAAGTCAGCTGGGACACCAGGATATGCAGTGCCACAGCAGCCAGGTAAGCACTGATTGCAGACTCCGGAAGGTAAGTGGCGATGAAGCCCAAACCCAATGCGCCCATTATTAGCTGCAGAGAAGAGAAAACCAGAGTGGGGCAGAATATCTTCAATCCAGCAGTGCTCTCCAGGAATATAAGGGTTTCCAGCAGGAAAGTTAAGATAGGCTCCTTTGGTAACTCTTTCCCTAATGAGCAACAGTTGATAATGTGGGTCCTTATGTGTTGATCAGAGGCTCCCGACACGTGCTAGCCCACTTCATTGTGAGCACTTAAGTTCTTGCCCTAGAATCTACTGCCCTCTAGGTTAACATGGGGAAAACAGGGACAAGGTGATCAGAACAAGGCTTTGCCAATTTGTTTATTTATGAGACAGCGTCTTGTTCTGTTGCCCAGGCTGGAGTGCAGCACAATCGGAGCTCACTATAACCTCAAACTCCTAAGCACAAAGGATGCTCTGCCTCAGCTTCCCAAGTAGCTGGGACTACAGGCACAAACACTGGGCTAATTTTTTTTTTTTTTTTTTTTTTTTTTTGAGATGGAGTCTTACTCTGTCGCACAGGCTAGAGTACAGTGGTGCGATCTCAGCTCACTGCAGCCTCCATCTCGCAGATTCAAGCAATTGTCCTGCCTCAGCCTCCCGGTAGCTGGGATTATAGGTGTGCACCACTACGCCCAGCTAATTTTTGTATTTTTAGTAGAGATGGGGTCTCACCATGTTGGCCAGGCTGGCCTTGAACTCCTGACCTCAAATGATCTGCCTGCCTTGGCCTCCCCAGTTTTTTGGTTTTTTTTTTTTAATTTTTTACAGAGACAGCGGTCTTGCTATGTTACCTAGGCTGGTCTCAAACTCGTGATCTCAAGTGATCCTCCTGTTTTGGCCTCCCAAAACCCTGGGATTGCAGGCATGAATGCACTGTGCTCGGCCTGCCTTTGCCTTTTTAAAGGCTCTTTCAGGTCAGGCGTGGTGGCTCACGCCTGTAATCCAAACACTTTGGAGGCCAAGGCGGGTGGATCACCTGAGGTCGGGAGTTCAAGACCAGCCTGACCAACATGGTGAAACCCCGTCTTTAAAAAAAATAAATAAATAAAAAATAAAGTCTCTTTCATTAGAAGCTTTGATAGCCCTTTACAGGAGATGTTAATATTTCCCTGAGGAATGCCGCTTTTCACAAAGGAGAAGAGAATTCCAAAACATTGGGATCAAGCTCAAACTTCTTGGCCTTTGACTCTTATCTTTACTGAGAAATTAAATTATTGTTTTTGATTATACATATCCTGAAGAAAATTAAAAAGGTACTTTGCATGTCAACATGCATATATAAGATGTATGTTATATAGTATATAGTAAAATTTTATACACACAGGATCTAAAAGGATAGACCTCAAATGATGAACAGAAATTACCTTTGGGAAATGGGGTTAGAGGTTGGGGACAAACAACATTTGATAATTTATACCCTTTTTTTTTTTACTGTTTGAGTTGTTCATCTTTTATAACAAAAACCACAGTGCTGGGCGTGGTGGCTCATGCCTGTAATCCCAGCACTTTGGTAGGCCAAGGTGGGCGGATCACCTGAGGTCAGGGGTTCAAGACCAGCTGGACCAACATGGAGAAACCCTATCTTTAAAAAAACAAAACAAAACAAAAAACCACAGTTAGGCTGGGTGTGGTGGCTCACGCCTGTGAATCTCAGCACTTTGGGAGGCTCAAGTGTGAGGGTTGCTTGAGCTCAGGAACTTGAGAGGACCCTGGGCAACATGGCGACAGCTTGTCTCCACAACAAGAAAAATAAAAAACAAAAAGACGGTAGGTTAAGAAAACTGGCACAGCCCAATGAAGACTTTTCAGTAAGCAGGGTGGAAAGAACAGAAGTCTTAAAGCCTGTGATGGTCACTTCACTCTCCACTGCACTAAAAGCTCTCAAAAAACAGCCGGGCGCGGTGGCTCAAGCCTGTAATCCCAGCACTTTGGGAGGCCGAGGCGGGTGGATCACGAGGTCAAGAGATCGAGACCATCCTGGTCAACATGGTGAAACCCCGTCTCTACTAAAAATACAAAACATTAGCTGGGCATGGTGGCGCGTGCCTGTAATCCCAGCTACTCAGGAGGTTGAGGCAGGAGAATTGCCTGAACCCAGGAGGCGGAGGCTGCGGTGAGCCGAGATCGTGCCATTGCACTCCAGCCTGGGTAACAAGAGTGAAACTCCGTCTCAAAAAAAAAAAAAAAAAAGCTCTCAGAAAACAAACAAATTTGGAACAATACATCCTTTTGCTTTAAAAGGTTTTTGTTTCAAAGCTTTCAATTAGCCAGGCACGATGCCTCCCTTAATCTCCTGTCGTTGCTGCCCATTGTGTTCTTTCACTCTAGTCAGGCCAATCCGCTTCCTATTTTTTGCGTGATTGGCTGATTCCTACTTCTGTGTGTATGTACGAGTCCCTTTTTTCCCATCTCTGCCAATCCATGTGCATTATCTGTTTTGTCTGTGTGTTTGTTTTTGTTTTTGTTTCTGTTTTGGCATGGAGTCTAGCTCTGTCACACAGGCTGGAGTGCAGTGGTACAATCTGGGCTCACTGCAAACTCCACTTCCCTGGTTCAGGTGATTCTCCCACCTTAGCTTCCCGAGTAGCTAGGATTATAGGTGCCCACTACCATGCCTGGCTAATTTTTGTATTTTTAAGTAGAGACAGGGTTTCACCATGTTGGCCAGTCTGGTCTTGGACTCCTGACCTCAAGTGATTTACCCACCTTGGCATCTCAAAGAGCTGGGACTACAGGCGTGAGCCACTGTGCCTGCCCTGCATCATCTCTTTCAAGAGCCCAGTAAAATTCCTCTTCCTTAAGGAGTGTGATGAAAAAAGCATGGTTCCTGGGGTAGGAGAATGTGGCTTCAGTCCTGGCCCGGCCACTCACTGGTTGTGTGAGTGTGGTCAAGTTAACTTTCTGAACCTCAGTTTCCTCATCTATAAAATGTGAATAATACTCAATGTAAAGTGTTTTGAATAGATTAAATGTCATCACACATGTAAAATACCTAGTTCAGATCTGAAAATAGTGACAAATATATATCACTCATATTTGCAAATATATATTCCTCATCTTCACACTATCCCTGCCTTCCACTTTGTAAATGGCAAATATCTGCAATTACCATAGAACTCTTTCTTGCCCACTGTGATGTGGCATCACGTTCCGTGTTAACATAATATTCTAGGCAGCCACTGTCAATCAGGCAGGGTTGGCCTGTGTGATGAAACATACCTGCCATTCTTTTTTGTGTTTGTTTTGAGACAGAGTCTCCCTCTGTTGCCCAGGCTGGAGTATAGTGTCATGATCTTGGCTCACTGCAACCTCTGCCTCCCGGGTTCAAGTGATTCTCTTGCCTCAGTCTCCTGAGTAGCTGGGACTACAGGTGCGTGCCACCATGCCCGGCTAATTTTTTTTTTTTTTTTTTTTTTGTATTTTAAGTAGAGATGGCGTTTCACTGTGTTAGCCAGGAGGGTCTCTATCTTCCTGACCTCGTGATCCGCCGGCCTCAGACTTGCAAAGTGCTGGGATTACAGGCGTAAACCACTCTGCTTGGCTTTATCTGCCATTCTTATAGGAAGCCAGTATTAAATGTTGAACGAATGAAAGGGAGGGCTCAATAAAGAGATGTTTCCCTCCCAGATAACTTCAACTCAACTAGAGGTTATTTATTTACTTCATGTTCTTTTGGCACTAAACTCTTATATGAATATTACTTTGCACTTAAGATTTTCTAGGGCACAGATTCTATAATCAGACAACCCTAAATTGAATCCCAGTTTGTTATCTTACAAGCTATGTAAGCTTGGGCATTTTTTTTTTAACCTCTCTATGCCCTTGTTTTCTTAAAATAAGGACTATAGTAGTGTGCTACAGTCATGTGCCACCACACCCAGCTAATTTTTTATTTTGTTATATAGAAATGGGGTTTCCCTGTGTTGCCCAGGCTGGTCTCAAACTCCTGGTCCCAAGTGATTCTCCTGCCTCAGCCTCCCAAAATGCTGGGATTACAGATGTAAGCCACCATGCCCAGCCCTCTTCCTTTTTTAGATGAAAAAAGCTGAGGCTTGAAGGAGGAGAGAAAGTATGTATAAGGCCCCTTGATAATTAAAAGGTTGCTTGTATTTTGTCTTATCCCACGAGATTGAACTTTTTAACCACAGGAAACTATATATTCTTTTTTTAAAAATATTTGGTCTCTGTTAAAGTATCAAATTCATTTCTCTGTGGCCACTAATTATAATCTATTCATGCTTACGATGTGACAGGCTGTAGGCTAAATACTTTGCATGCATTTTTTCGCTTAATCCTCCTACAAACCCTGCAAAACAAGTATTATTCCTGCTTTACACATGAGGAAACTGAGGCTCACCAAGGTAAAATAATTTACCAAAGTTCACACAGCTCATTGTGTCAGGGCTGGAGTCTGCCCCCTTTGATAGCTTGCCTTTATAGGTACCCTACAAATCTTTACCTAATGAAAGACAGTCCCGGGGAGATCAGTGAAAATAAACTAGAGAGTGGGTTAGTTGCGGGGAAAAAAAAGAGAGTGAGAGAAGTAGATAGGCTGGGCACGGTGGCTCATGTCTGTAATCCCAACACTTTGGGAGGCCGAGGTAGGTGGATAACGAGGTCAGGAGTTCGAGACTAGCCTGGCCAAGATAGTGAAACCCCGTCTCTACTAAAAATACAAAAAATTAGCTGCGCGTAGTGGCGGGTGCCTGTAATCCCAGCTACTCCAGAGGCTGAGGCAGGAGAATCACTTGAACCTGGGAGGCAGAGGTTGCAGTGAGCTGAGATCGTGCCCCTGAACTCTAGTCTGGGTGACAGAGCAAGACTTCGTCTAAAAAAAAAAAAAAAAAAAAGAAATAAACATGGAAGATGTGACTTTAGTTCAGTGGGTGAACTTTTGGTGATAGACTCTCAAAGAAAATTAAAGACAGTGCCAAAATAAGTTTTCAGATTTCAGTGAGTCATTCCTTTAGCTGTGGTCCTTGTCAGCACATAAAAAGGATTCCAGATCTGACTCTATAGCTTACTAACCCAAAGATAGTGTGTGAGCCTATGAGGCCATTATTATTACTATTTCTGAGACAGAGCCTCTCTCTGTCACCCAGGCTGGAGTGCAGTGGCATGATCACAGCTTACTGTAGCCTATACCTCCTGGGCTCAAGTGATATTCCCACCTTAGCTTCCTGCATAACTAGGACTACAGGCACATGCTACTATGCCCAGCTAAATTAGGCTATTCTTATTGATAGAATATAAACCAATTTTTGGCTGGGCATCATGGCTCATGCCTGTAATCCCAGCACTTTGAGAGGCCGAGGTGGGTGGATCACCTGAGGTCAGGAGTTCAATAGCAGCCTGGCTAACATGGTAAAGCCCTGTTTCTACTAAAAATACAAAAATTTGTTGGGCATGGTGGTGGGCACCTATGATGCAGAACTTTGATGCAGAACTGCTTAAACCTGGGATGCAGGGTTTGCAGTGAGCCAAGATCATGCCATTGCACTCCAGCCTGGGCAACAGGAGCAAAACTCAGTCCAAAAAAAAAAAATACAAAGCAATTTTTAAAAAGATAAGGTCAGGAGTGGAACTCTGGACTGAGAGTCCCCAACCCTCTGGGGCCACGGGCTAGTACTGATACTGGTTCATGGCCTGTTAGAAACCAGGCCGCGCAGCAGGAGGTGAGCAGCAAAAACCCTATTGTGAACTGCACATGCAAGGGTTCTACGTTGCATGCTCCTTATGATAACCAAATGCCTGTGGATCTGAGGTGGAACACTTTCATCCCAAAACCACCACCCTCCTTGGTCCTGACCCCCTATTCGTGGAAAAACTGTCTTCCAGGAAACTGGTCCCTGGTTGAAAAAGGTTGGGGACCACTGCTCTGGAACATCACCCCTTAGACTCTTTGTCTTAGAGGAGAAAGGACTGAAGAGAATGTTCAATATCTTATCCCAATTCAGTGGTAGATGATTTCGGAGGAGAGAGAAGTTTTGTCACTAAGGAGACAGCCCATTCATACAGCCTCTGATTTTTCAAGAAACAGATCACTGAAGGTCCAGGTATATCACAATGGATCACAGGAGCAATACAAGGAAGGGCTCTGTTTATAGCCCCTTTATTCGGTTCCTTTTCAGGGATTTGAAGACTCAGATCCTACCTGGATAATCCCAGTCAGAAAAGTTGTGGTTGCCACCACACTCAAGGATTTATTATAGCCCACGAGGTAGGAGTGGGTGGAAACATCATCCTTGATGAAAGATCCCATGACCAGGTGACCACTGTTGAATGGGCTCACTTTCAGAACATTGATCAGCAGAGCACTCACCAGGAAGAAGGAACCTGTGGAAGAAGACGTTAGGCAGAATGTGAAGTTTCTAGTCCGGGTAAGCTGATACTGACAAAAGCAAGGTGTGGTTGAATTCCATATTGTCCTTCCTTTGAATAACTTTTCTCATTTGAAAGTGGCTCTTGAGAAGTAAGAAAGATCAGGAAAGAGAACTGTGGCTCCACATATCGTGACCAAGTCATGGAATTTAGGTGATGGTGGTCTAGGTATTTAGTCTCTTCATATTGTGGGCATGTTAAGTGGAATGAGAAGTTGACTGAAATGGGTGTCAGGCTCAGCTACTGTGTCTGCTCTTAGAGAAGGTTAAAAGTGAGACAGTAGAGAAAATATTAGAAAACAAACCAATCAAGCAGGGCGCGGTGGCTCACGCCTGTAATCCCAGCACTTTGGGAGGCCAAGGCGGGCACAGCACCTGAGGTCAGGAGTTCAAGACCAGCCTGACCAACATGGTGAAACCGTCTCTACTAAAATACAAAATTAGCCAGGTGTCATGGCACATGCCTGTAATCCCAGCTACTTGGGAGGCTGAGGTAGGAGAATCTCTTGAACTCAGGAGGCAGGGGTCGCGGTGAGCAGAGATTGTGCTATTGCCTCTCAATAAATAAATAAATAAATAAACCAATCAATAACAATAGGAGAAAAATAATACTGATGCTGAGTTAAATTAAACCTATTACAAACGTTATTTTGTTTAGTCCGCATATTGACATACCACATAAGAAAGCAAAGGCAAATCTTAACTTAAAATTTACCTAACAGAAATAAATCTCTAACAACCCTTATAAATACTTGGAAATGATTGTGAGATTCCCCAGAAACTTGGAAATGTAGGAATAAAATTGTTCTCTTGTTGTTCAAATGTAAAATCAACACACAATGAATATGAGTAAAGACATGAGCTTTTATTTATTCAGTTTATTTACTATTTGAGATGGAGTTTCACTCTTGTTGCCCAGGCTGGAGTGCAATGACATGATCTCAGCTCACTGCAACCTCTGCCTCCTGGGTTCAAGCAATTCTCCCGCCTCAGCCTCCTGAGTAGCTGGGATTACAGGTGCCCACCACCACGCCTGGCTAATGTTTCATATTTTTAGTAGAGACGAGGTCTCACCATGTTGGCCAGGCTGATCTCGAACTCCTAACCTTAGGTGATCCACCCATCTCGTCCTCCCAAAGTATTGGTCTCAAACTCCTTACCTCAGATGATCCACCTGCCTTGGCTTCCCAAAGTGCTGGGATTTTACAGGCATGTGCCACTGTGCCCAGCCATGAGCTATTCTTTTTTTTTTTTTTTTT